AGGTTTCTCTCACTGGGGTCCAGACTAATGTGTTACTCTTCTGTCAGCTGATTGTTATTTGCTTTGTGTCATGTTTGCCAGACATAGAAACTGTCCCTCCAGACTTGCTCACGTTGACCAGTTCGTGTGTGAAATTGAGAATGACCCAGCAGCCACCTCTACATAGCACTAACGCCGGTACACATCTAAGACTCACTTTTTTTCTCACCACACAATCACATCTGTGTCTGAAATGCAATACACTGTGTGAGGTTCTCTCTTTGATCTTTACATGAGACCCACAATACCTTTTACCACAGCTTTCCTCGTGTATGTCCTGTATTACCATTACGCTTTTATTCAGCGTGAATAAATCCAGTGAGATTTGTCTCTGTCTCTTTCCTCAGGACTGAACGAGGAGGCGTTATGTGGGACTTTGAGTGTGGCCATTGATTCTGCCGCTGGCCTACAGCAGCCAGCTTGTATGCTTTGCAATATTTAGCAATTTTGAAGCATCATGAGACACTGGGCTATCTTCTGTCTAAGCTAAATAGTTTTGGGGTCATTAATGATTCTCTCTTTCTCACTCAGGTGTGTATGTGTGTGTGGAAGTGGATGGCTTCAAGTTTTACGATCAGCAGACCCAGACACACTCTTCAGTCCTCAGCCTAAACCCTCACTGGGACCAGGTTAGACTCAAGCCTTTTGAAATATGAAATATTACATTTGACTTTAATATTTAGCTAATCTGTTAAAGTTAAGAATATAAGAGACATCAGAGCATTTGAGGAAAAGTCCTACTATCTTGTAGATGGGATTTGTCAACCAGTTCAAGATAGCAATTCTTCATTTCTTCTTCATGTCTAGACAGTATCCGACATGATGTCAGGCTTGAGCTTAGGGGATTACAAAAGTCTGCACTTTTGGTGTGACAATACCATGCTTTAAACATTATCAGAGGCAGTAAAATCAACACTAAATCCGACTAGTAGGCCGAAGTGAAGGATTTAGAATAAGACATAGATTCTCCACATGCAGCTTAAGGAAGTTAAAGTCTTTTTTCATTGTTAACATCTTTTTTTACATTTTAAACAGGAGCTGTCTTTCCAGGTGGATGGTGCACAGAACTTGAGGGTGTTATGTGTGAGTCAGTCAAATGGACAGGATGATACTGTTCTGGGAAAAAATACAGTAAAGGTACGGAGAGGCCTAAGAACTTCAGCTTTATCTTTATTAATACCAGTAAGCTGGATTTCAATATAATATTAAACATATAATCCAAGATCGTTCCCAGCAACACTGAAGAAAAAAAATGTTAAAAATGGGTTTTAACAGTTGCAGTTCCTTAATTTGCAGAGATGATTAATGTCTATTTTGGGTTTGAGCCCACAGAAACTGTGGTTCACATTGTACCAGGACTTGTCCGGGACATTTAAAACCAATTAGTGAAAATGGAGTTTGAGTCAGTGTTGATGGCTAACTTAGCTTGTACCTTTCTAAATGCATGCATTTGCATGTAATCATTGGTTATTATTAATCTCTGGCTTGAAATGAATTGAATTGAATGATTAGCTGAAGTACTTTTACTATTTGGCATCGTGGCCATTTGTCACAAACTGACTCAAAATAGAGGACGAGATAACAGTTCCTACAAGAGGTTTATTCAAATAAAACATCTTAAACATAAAATTATTTTAAACATAAAATACCTAAGACACAAACATCAAAGTGGGTGATGACAGGTGGAGTGAAAGCAGAAGGGAAATGCAGGCAAGTGGCTGGGCATCAGCTACAAATTTTAAACTACAGCAACAGTAGTGCACCATTGTTTCCAATGACAGTAGGAGAGACCTGCCCTCCCTAAATGGGCCCCACTCACTCCCATTGTAAGCAATGAAAGCCAGGAAATGAGAAGGAGTTATCCCTCTGTGAGTGAGAAAAAGAAGAAGAGAAAAGAGGAAGAGAAAAAAGAAAAATGAGGAAGCTTTTTTTGTTTTTGGAGCAATCAAATGAATCATAGATAACTAAATGCTTAAATAACATTAAATAACTGCAAGAGAGACACATAATAATAGAGCATCACATAATTTGTTTTGTTTTTTGTGACATCTTCTTACCCTAACCCCCACATGGTCACTGTGGATGGCTGGCCCTCCCTGAGCCTGCCACAACTTTCTTCCTGTTAAAAGGGTTAATGGTTTTTTTTAATAGAACGGTTGTTTTAGGTGTCAGATAATTCATAACATAGTAATGAATGTTCTGTGAATTTTTGCTTGGGTCTCCAACAAAACCTGAAATTGCCACTGAATTTGAGACAGAGAGTAAAGTTTTATAGCCTGGAAAGCCTGGTGAGCTACATTACCTGATGGCCCTTCTATGTCAGGCAGTTATCAGTAAGAGTAGGCCAGGATGTCCTTGAGACAACAGTAGGAGGGTAACATAATCTAGGTTAACCAATAGGGCATAGGACATTGTCTAAACTTGACCTTTGGCACACATAGCACGCAGGGACCTATCCCAGCTACCACAGGGCAAGAGGCAGGCTACATAGAGACAGACATATTGCTTTATTTTCTGTCTTATCTTGTGTAACTATTTAGGAAAGGTATTACATAAATGAAGCTTATTATTATCATTAATGTGGCACGTGCCTTTTTTTGCCAATCCAGATATATAGGTTAGGGGTAAAAATGCCCAATGTAATTATTTCACCAGACAGAATTTTTTCTAACTAATGATCCCACCATTTCCTTTATTTTAAAACCCCATGTCAAGTTGAATTTTACTTTTTTCTGTGTTCATCAGTTGGACTCTAAAACTCTGAATAAGCGATGGAAAAAACAGACCCTAAAGCTGGGCCAGGTGGAGCTCACCCTCTCTCTCAAGTACTGTCCCCACCCACTGGGACCACCCAGCTCCACAGTTCAACAGCCGCCAATCTTTGGCGTCCCCATTGAAACCGTGGCAAAGTAAGTTCCTGCCTATCATGTCAGTGTGTCAGCTGGCTCCCTCTTGGCCTACCCGAACAGTCTAGACACCTTGAAACTGAAAGCTGTAGCTCGGTTCAGAGTTTTATTTCCCCTGTGTGCCCTTTCGTGGAGCTAGTTTTCAGTTTAATTTGTGGGAAAGTGGATTAAAGGGAAGCAGAAGTGTGGCGGGAGTGGAGATTGAAATGAAATGAAACAGCCTATCAATCAAATGCAACATAACTTACACAATGCTTAAACTCTCAATCCTCTGTCAGACAGGAGGGAGTGCTGGTTCCTCATGTGGTGCGATGCTGCGTGGAGGAAGTGGAGAGGAGAGGCATGGATGAGGTGGGAATCTACAGGATTTCAGGAACAACCAGTGAAATCAGCACGCTCAAGGCTGCGTTCAACAACAGTAAGAAAAACATAACACAGAAAAATGATCTTTTTGTTGGAAAGTGCAGTGATAAAGAGTTGTTGCAATGCAAGGAGCAGATTGGTGTGAGCTCCAGTCATCAGGCTCTTCACTCAGGTCTTCTTTAACATGAACCAGACATTTTCAGCTTCCTCATCCTCTTTCCTAAACATTATTCAGGACAGTCCTTTTGTTAATAGTAAAAGTCAGTGAGAATCAGGAACTGCAGTCAAGGGAAATAACATGCATGTTTGTCTTTGAACTTCCTTGATCCTGGGTTTTGTCTTCTCGCCAAATAGTGCCTCGCATGGTAACAAGTTTTTACAAGTTTTGTTAGGAAAACTGCAGCACGTTATTGAAACATGTGTAAACATACATGGGAGTACAGTATATAAGGTAAAAACAGCATCTGTGCAGTTCTAACAAGGTTAAGTCAATATTTCAACTTTATACTTCAACACAGTCTGAGCTCTCTGAGGCAGTTTGCTTGTCATTTCTGTAAGAAGTCTTCAGGAAAAGTTATCCAGGTTTCTTTAAGGACATTCAAAGCGCTTCCATGAATGTTGGCTGGATTTAGTTAATACTTTAATATTGAGGTCTGGGCTCTGGGGGAGGCCAGTCCAGGACTGATGGTGTTTCATTGTGTGTTTCTATCCAGGAACACTTTAACTGAACTGTATTTGGGATGCTTAAAAATGAAATTGAAATACCTCATTCTTTTCTCCTTATTTCTCTTCCTTAAGAATTCCCTTCCTTTTTCAAAGCCACACTTTTCGGATGAGGTTTCAGTGAACAGCAGATTGATAAACTTCTCAGGTCCTGGGTCTTAGATACACCTTTTTCCTATTTATTAAGGACAGTTGTTGTTGTTGTTGTGAATAGTTTTTTAGGCCTACTTAACAAAAGAAAAGAAATCGGTCCAAGTGCTGGACTGAAAATGATTGAAAAAGCTGCAAATATCCAAAGAAAAATATTGAAAGATAGAATCATTAAAAAGAAAACCTAGAGAACTATTGCTCAAGATCACTTGCGTAATACTTGAAAAGATAACATTTCAATGCTTTGAAGCAACATAAAACAAACAAAAAAAAAGAAGAAGAAGAAAAAGAAAAGTGATTCCAGACTTTTGCACAGTGCTGTATGTTTGTATTTAGCAATAATGTTTGAGCACTAAACATACAGTATAACTTAAAGAGATAAAATTAAAATGCTTTGTCACAAAACTGAAGGCTCAAAGAGGCATCAGTTCATTGGTTGCAGACCAAGAATTTTTAAAAACTCAACTATCACCAAAATAATTCAAATTAATTTCCTTGAAATCGTAACTTTCTTCTAGGAGAAACACTAGTGGTGACATTTGACCTTGACTCTTGAGTTTAGGTGCAGCATCTCAGAAACATTTAGCCCATATACCTCTTGTTAGTGCTGCACTGTGCCAAAGATAGCTGATTTTAAACCCACATGTTTCTTCTGTCTAGGAAACAACTGACTGAAAGGTGAACACTGTCATTGTTGCTAGCGAAGAAAATGTCTGTTAAGCTAAAAATACCTGATTGCTTTAAAAATTTATGCACGCATTCAATATCAGACAGATTAATCAATGAACGGCAGTCTTGGAGGATGAACACTTAATATGCAGGCAAAAGTATATTATGGTGTGTTTGTCTTGTTTATCGTAAGAAAAACAAAAACTGACTCAAAATCTTTTCCCTGATGATCTACATCTGCAATGCAGCGCATACCCATACATGTTCTTGTGCCTGTGAGGAAGGAAGTGAAGGTTAAAAGAAGATACCTGTAATAAAGATAATTATCATTATCTGTCCCTTTTCTGATCAGATCTCCGTGAAGCGGTGACGAAGCTGAGAAGCGCAGAAGTGAACGCTGTGTCTGGTGTTCTCAAACTTTACTTCAGAGAGCTGCCTGAACCCCTGATACCCACTGAGCTTTTTCAGAGTCTGACAAGAAGTCTAGGTAAGACAACACATCCCCAGTACACGACAAAGCACATGCATACTGTATGCATACTTCACTGAAGTTTAGCTCTAAACCTTTAAACTACTTGCAGAGTTTGTTGTTAGAACTGGTATCTCTTCAGTGCAAATTCATCATCTAGAAGCTTTTTACTGCTTGTAAAGGAATGAAAAAAAGAGGCTAAAAACAATCATAGATGAATCATCTATCAAAATAGATATTCTGCTTCCTGTGAGTTTTCACGGCCTGAAAACTGAAGCCAGTTCAGAAATGCCTTAGATGTGCTTTCTTTTTAATGACAAGCAAGAGAGATCTGGCTGCATAAAGGCCGATGGCAAAACAACTGTTAATGTATGACCACAGTGAACTGATAAGTTTTTCAGCGCTAGTTTCAAGTGTTACTGAATACAGCATGATGCACATTTGCATGTGATGGTTTTCAGTAGAGCGAGAAAAGAGGAGAAAGCAGGGTACACTTCAGGGTGGGCCTGTTTTACATTGTGGTTGTGGTTGATTACTCATTTGAGAGGGTTCCTGTGTGAACACAGGGGAAAGGTGCTTCAGTGCATCCATAAGTGTCTTTTGACCCATCTCTCTCCCCTCACCCCCCCAACTGGTCACAGTAGATGGCTACCCCACCCTGAGCCTGGCACTGCTACATGTTTCCTCCTGTTAAAAGGGAGTTTTCACTTCCCACTGTTCAAGTGCTTGCTCATAGTGTTATCTGACTGTTTCAGAGTCTTTACCTTACAATATAAAGTGCTACCTTGAGCTTGTTTTTTATTTAATGGTAAATATCCTCCTGAGACCCAGTAATTCATTTTTGTGCACTGTAGTACACATTTAGTTTTTGCTTGTACCTC